AAAAAAAGTCTGAAACTTTGGTTTTTAATATTGGTGTCATTTGCATAAATTGTTTTCATATTTTAATGTATAGATATTTTTTTTTTGTAATTCAATAATTAAATTGTGTTGATAGTAGGTACTTCATAACCAGAATTGCAGGTTTAGGATGCTATAATAGCAATCATAGCCATCAAGTAAATAAATAACCAAAACAAAGGAAAAACCTATTTTTTTTATAGTTTTTTTTCTTCAATTTTTGGCCATTTTGAAGGAGTTGAAAAGGGTTGAAATGAAATTTCAGGACTGAAAAAAATTTGACTTCGGTTGAACACCAGAAAAACAAAGAAAAGCAAATATCACAGAATGTTTCAACCTGATTTATGAGGAAACTTCAAAAATTCAGTTTTTTCAATTGTGTCTTGTGTGCGTGATGTAATGAAAGCATCTGAACGAAAGCTCAGATTGACGTATTTAATATTGTCAGTTGAGTTGGCAGTTTGGGCGTCAAGTATTTTGGAAAATTGACTAAAAAACATAAAAATCAGAAATGTTACTATTTTCCAGCTTTTCAATTTTTTACTCTTCTGATAAGAAAAGGCATTGCAATCGGGTACTAGACTTTTTCCGTAAACAACTTTGTTCACAGAATGGTCGCATGGTAAGAAAGGCATGTTTGCTTAATAACGTGGTAACTGTTTTGGCTGCATGCGATTACCACGCGTCATTTAGTTATGTTAAGTTAAGAGTTGGGAATGAGTTTTTGGAGGATTCGAAATGTTTGGTACATTTTCGGCACGGATATCGGTCGGCTTCAACTGTCGGCTTATTTTTCTGATGTGTTTATTCTACATTGATATTATATAAATTTTCATTGGTATTATAACAATTGTACTCTAAATAGGTATTTTCGAACTCTAACGAAAAATTTTTTACATATCTGAACCACCTCCTAAGCCTTCCATAATACATTTTTTTCGCATCAAAACTTTTTCGGCCCAAATGATTTCGATCTTTTTTATCGCCGTCGTGCGTAGCCTAAATTTGAGTACTTTGAATAAAAACGTTGTTGAATAAAAACTGTAACAGAATTTATAGGTCAAGTTTTTAATGACAACATTTTTGTTTTCAATTTTTTCAACCTTTTTGTTCCGGCTTGATAAATTTCGGCCCATATACCAAGTTATAGGCCTGATATTGCGTTTTTGACAAATTAAAATAGTGTGTGAGAGTGTGCTTGTCTGTGTTTTTAGGGTGAGGGGGTTATTCTTATTGTCCTATTTTTTTTTTGATTTTTTCGACTTTTTCGTTTTCATTTTTTTGGGTTTAATAGGTTCCGGTCTATATTACGGTCGTTTAGTTGTCTCTTACTGTTTCATTTGACGGGCAAATAAAGTTTTTTGAGTGTTTTGAGGCTGAGCGAGACATAGTAATTTTTGATAAATTTTAAGTGTTGATGTTTTTTTTGGGCTTACAGGGTTTCTGCCGAGATATTTTCAGCTTCGTTACTGCTGGGTAAATTATCTTCCAAATATAATTTCACGTTAAATTGTTTCGACATGTTTTTGTTTCAAAACTAGCCTTATTCGTTGTGATAGTCTAGTTGTTTTGGCATAATTCATTTTTTTTTTCGATTTTTTTCTTGTGTTGTATACCAAGTGTTCCGAAGCTCAGCTTCGGCTGTGTGCCAAAAATATTTCCGAACTTTTAAATTTTTTTATTCACAAAATGGCACTCTAAACCTGAGTAATATTAAAAATTTGGAACTCAAAAAAGTTTCTGTGCAAAAAATAGACTTAAACCAAATTTTCTCACAAATTTTTGAGAATTGTTTTGGAAATTTTGAAATATCGTTCAAATTTAGACTGAAAGCCCTTTAATATGATATAACACTCTACTCATTCTGTTGATTAGCTGTGGTACTTGATTTTTTTTGCGAAAAATAAACGATTTTCCGTGGAAAAAAAATTTCTCCCTGCTTTCAATGGTGGGTACAATAAAGAGCTAGTTGTGCCTGTTCTCGAGACTCTTCTACTCTTTTTAGCAGAAAATCACTCTGAATAGCAAGAATATTGAAAGATCTTTTTGGAATCCGAAAATCTGTTTTAGAATCGGAGTATATTTTTTAGCGCTCGAGTTACGACTAAATGTGCTTTTTTAAAAAGAAAACTGAAAGTTACGGGGAATCACCAAATCGCATAATAGTTTTCCGCCATGTCTAAGCACTAACCACTGCTAAGCAGAAGTGTTGCGCGCGGCGCAATTGTTAGGAAAATTAAAGAAGATATGTTTTTCTCCGTTTTTAATAGATTGATAAACGGGTAACTATTATCGGAGTGCGGTCTGTATTTAGACAACCGCGTATTCCTACTCGTCAGTAAGCAGACAAACACTGTATGAACCAGTCAGAATTGAGATGAGAAAGCAAATTTAAAAATAAATAACAATTGTTTATTAATTTCTTTCTTGTCTCAATTCTGATTGGTTCATACATCATTTGTCTGCTTACTGACGAGTAGGACTATGCGGTTGTCTAAATACAGACCGCACTCCGATAATAGTTACCCGTTTATCAATCTATTAAAAACGCAGAAAAACATATCTTCTTTAATTTTCCTAACAATTGCGCCGCGCGCACCACTTTTGCTTGGCAGTGGTTAGTGCTTAGACATGGCAGAAAACTACTATGTGGTTTGGTGATTCCCCGTAACTTTCAGTTATTTTTTTGAAGTTATTTTATAAAATTCTTTTTATATTTAGTCGTAACTCGAGCGAAAAAATATAATCCTATTCGAAAACAGATTTTCGGATTATCTCTATTATCGTATTTATAGGCATTAGAAAAACTGCTAATCAGCAGTTTATCAAAAACTCAGCCTATCAGAAAGCATCCTCAAAAATTTGAGCTTTCAATAACCGAAATGAATACCCGTTGCATCATAAGTTCTAAAACTTCATGATGTAACGGTATTTATTTCTGCTTTATGAGAAATTCCATTTTTGGGGTGCGTTTGTGATTGGCTGAACTTAACATTTATTTTTAATTCAGATGTTCGATTTTAAAACCGCATCATTTTTCATTGGCAATATTGAAAGGAAACAGGTGTGACTAATAAATTTCAGATTGTGTTCGGAATACAACATGAGTCCTTTTTGTTCCCCACACCTACTGAGTTAAAAGAAGTATGTTCTACAAAGTTTTTTTTAGCTCCCCGCACTCAGTAAAATAAGAAAATAATAGATTATAGCGGATTTTTATTGTCAGTTTCCATAAATTTTAAAAATAATTGATTATACTGGATTATGTTGTTACTATTTTTCGAATAATAAAAATAATTATAACCGATTAAAATCGATTATTTTTTTTGAAAACTTTTTTTTCTCAAATTTTATTGAAATATAACCTATTATAATGAATTATAGCCCCTTATTATTCAACAAGGGTCATCGCTTCATTTCGTTTTATTTTTGTTTTGTTTTGTGCGCTTTTCAGTTGGTTACCGAACTAAAAGAAACCGTAATTTTGTACTTATAGCCAGGGGCGTCCGATACCCCCCCTCCTCTGGGATAAGAACCCCTGCCGACTCAAAAGTTCCCCCCTTTGAACTATCTGAGATATCCATTTTTGGACGGATCGTAAAAACTGTCTGAAGGCGCCATCATCACATTGTCTGCGCCGGTGGCAAAAATTTGAAAAAACGGGTCAATAAAGCAATTCTTTTGGTCAAAATTTTCCAAAAAGTGCCTAAAAACGCCTTTTTTGGCCTTTTTTTCAAAATTCCGCCCGCGGCACAGAAAATTGGACAAAAAAGGGTATTTTTTGTGCTCTGAGAGAACTCGGAAATATCAATTTGGTCGATCAAAAAAAAGGTCGACAAAATTTTGGAAAATTTTCTGAAAAACTGACCCTTCCTATAGAAATACTAGATCCGCCCCTACTTTTAGCAGAAACTTAAATAAAACTTGATTTTACTGTGTTTTCATGCAGAATAGCTAAAGTATAGTTCATTATAATAAATTTTTTTGTGAGATAAAATTTTGATAGAAAAAGGGATTACAACATATTATAATAGATTATAAGAGATTGTCGGAAAAATTTTAATCAATTATAATTGATTATAATTTATTAAATTATCACCGAAAGTTTTATCACTAAAATGGATTGTAAATTGTTTAAACATCTAAAATTGGCGCTTATAATTAATTATAATTTTGCTATAAGTGCAATTATAATTATAATATAATAGATTATTTTCTCTTTTTACTGAGTGCGGGTCGTAGGGGACTAAAAAAATCATAGGGGACTTTTTGTGGTATCATATCAAATCCTCTGCAGTCTTGATACGGATTCCGAAAAGATATATTAAACAAGGATAGCCGGTTTCTGTGTAGGTAGCACAGAATGTTCCGATCATAATCTATAAAAATACAACAACATTCAAATAAGTGTCGTTTTTTGGCGTGGGTTAATAAAAGGAGCTGAACGAAAAAGTAGAGATTGGGCACATTCGAAAACCTTGCTAAAATAGGCAAATTGAAAAACAATTTTTAAAAACATGACCGGAAAACAGGTTAAAAAATCAAAAAAAAATCCAAATATTCTTCAATTGTGTTTGCAGATTTTTGAGTTTTTGAAGTTTTTGATCCCAAAAAGGCGCTAAAATACTCAAAAATCTAACGTAACTCGAATAAAACTAAGTTTTTTCTTTTTAAATCAAGAAATTGTAAGCTTTTCAGCCATTAAAATCAGCTATTGCAAGCCCTATATGTTATAATCAGTTTTTCACTTGAAAACGCAAATTAAAAACGAAAAATAGGCTGGAAAATTTGTTTTTTGTTTTTGTAGTGTTCAGTGATAGTGGTCATATTATGTGCTGCTTTAAGAGCGAATGACTAACCTTTTTATGATGAGAATTTTTCAAGTTCAAAAAATCTTAGGAATTAGTCATTTTTGATCTTACTTCAAATTTATTTTGTATATGACCGAGAAGCGTTCCTTTTGGTGTGTGCACAAAACTTACCATTTCAGAAAATGCAGATTTGAAGTTTGCGGTATCCACGGAACTTCTGGAACCCGCTCCAGACAGTACCTCCGGGTACTCGGCTCCCACCCATCTGCTTGGATTCGCACTTCGTGTCGACGAAGTCTCGACCGACCTCAAGATGTCGTCTTCACTTTGTGCGACTTCATGCTCCGAGTTGGTTCCAAAGTTAATATTTTGATCCGAATTTGACCTGGCACTCACGCTTTGCTTCAACTGTCGTTTGTTCAAGTTAGGAGGGAACGAATGACATGGCGTCAACGTCGGTAAGGAGTTGACCATTTTATCCAGTTCTTGTTGCTTTTGATCTTCCGGCTGCACGCTGGTGCTGCCGGGGCGCATTTCTTTCCGCCTGCTGCCTCGATTGCGAGACGGTAATGCCCCGATGACATTAGACAGCTCTCTGTTATCGAGACCAAAACATTGATCTTGAGGTACGAAATTTCTTTGATCGATTGCGGCTAAGTTCCGATGATTGTTGAGGGACTGAATACATTTGGATACGAAATTCTGCATTGCTGAATTTTCAACTCGAGTAAGTGTATATTATAATCATCAAATTATTATTAATTTTTGACCGGTTATAATTTGTGATTTTTGTCTTAAAAGACCTCACAAGTAGCTGCTCATGTTTAATTGATAGAAAAGCAGTGATTTTTTTTAAAAGCTACTGCAACCAGCGAGCTACTCAATCTTCATGTTGGATGTCACATGCATCGGTTGGTCCGACTGTTCGATAAAAGAAGATAAATTGAAGCGATTATTGTAAAGCATACACAAATCAAACTGTGCAAAAAGTAAAATTAACAATTCTCAGCTTCATAATTTTAAAAACGACTCGATTTGTCATTGAATGCAAACCATCCGTGAAACTGCTCTGAAGTTAGATTCAATGTTTTCTCACGCTTCATCAATCGGTGTAATTTTGTAATGATTAGAACAGTCGATCTTAAAAAAAATCAAATCTGTTCACGCAATCTTTGTCTAGGAACAAAAAATAATATTTACCTTTATTTTTTTTACATATAATTTAGTTTCAAACGTGTAGCTTGTTTTGCATAAAAATTTTTTGCTTGTCAAAATGATTTCCAGGAAAATTTGTCGTAGAAAATTTTTTCAACGGCCTAAATTGCGTTGGAAAATTTTTACCAAAGATGGAAACCCTTATGGAAGCTAAAGATGGCTGATGGACAATATTGTTAATTTTCATGACTTTTTTGATCCGAAAGAGCGAGCGCAAAAACGTTTAATTTTAGATTACTATTCAAAATTTAAGTTTGTTGACCGAATGCGATTTTCTTGCGATTTGAAGACCGGAGGAGTTCTGGCTCGCTTTACCAGTCAACGATAAGCCAGTTAAACAAAGTGTTGACAATTCAGTCAATTGATAATAATCTTGACAATTTGATTGAAGTTTGAAATACTGTTGTTTCAAGTTTGATTGAAGGAAAGATCTAGCTTCGCGTTGACCATCATAAAATCATGATCATGTCATGCCGTTCATCAAGTCATCATCAAATATATTGCATCCTCATCTTCATGACGACATCACGTTGACATTCAGATTCAATTCAAAACCATTTGCTGTTTTTTTTGAAGATCTGACCCTCGCATTAGAAAGTCGAAAACATTGGTGATTACATACCCCGCCACCATTTGTACTAGTTTGAGAGCGATATAACATATCATATCTCGGAAATAAACAAAAACAACTTGCACATAAGTCTCAATTAGTGGCACAATAGGGGTTCTCTGGTAGAACTGATTAGCTCGAGTGTCAACCTTTCACCAGACGAGATTTTCACCTAATTTGATGCAAGATTTGAGTGGTTTGAGAGTTTTTTTCAGAAGATTGCACTCAAAATGTTGCTTTAAAAAGAGCGGTCTAAGTACATACATAAAAAAAACTGTCTACGAAAATGCTGTCTCTTGCAGTTCAATCCCGAACTACTGCTCCTTTGTTGAGACGTTAGGTTGGGACTAGTGGCTGGCAAACCTTTTAGACAGTGGATGCCAAATGGATGCGCTGAATGCCAATTTTTTTTTAAATGACAAACTTGAGATGGTTTGAAAACTTGAGTAAGTTTCACAAACTTCAATTGAAGCTTAAATAAGATCAATTTCTTGGTCACAGCCAGTTTGAATTACATGTTTTTATCAAATTCAACCATTTAATCTATTATTTTAGCGGGAATATTTTCAAGATCTTGTTCAATTTAGAAAAATGTAATCATTGTAATGACTAATGTCAATCATGACAGGTTCGATTCATTTTCAAGATCAAATCAAAGTCTTGATTATCGGCAAGGTCATTTTTTTTCAAATTTTAAAAGCAATTAGCAGCATGCATGTTAATTTGTTGCATATACAAAACAGTCCCATACAAAACAGTCCCATACAAAACAGTCCAATACAAAATGGTCCAAAAAATCAAGAAATGAAGGAAAAAAAACAGTCCAATACAAAACAGTCCGGTTTAAGGTCTCCAGTGGGCGCGCTGCGCGCGCGTCGCCGCTTGGCGGCGATAACCGGCTCTAAATTTCGTATTCAGTCCTGCCCTCTGTTGGCAAGCTCACAACACGTTGGCGCGACTGCGGCGGTCACTAATTTGTTCTTTTTGTTTGTTGAACAAAGGACAATTCTCGGCCTAGCGGCTTGTTAAAACCATTTATACTTGGGACTGTTTTAGGGACTGTTTTGTATCGGACTGTTTTTTGTTCATTTTCATGTTTTTTCCGGACTGTTTTGTATTGGACTGTTTTGTACAGACATGGTTAATTTCTTTTGTTTTGCAAAAGTTTTCGCAATTACGGCTTTGATATTTACCGACGCTAAGGTTCCGAATGCCTTTCAAGTAAATTTCATTTCGACTCGGACAAATGGTATTAAAAAGGGATTGAATTGTTGAGGAGTTATCTAATTCTGGAATTATATGAGGTTGGGGCTGGAAAAAGGGCTTAAAAACCGCGGGCTGATAAGCCTGAGAATTATTGAATTGATCCTTATTAACTTACTCCCATTTTGGACTTCGTTTGACTGGTGTGTCTGGTTTCGTGTGTCTTGAAACAAATCGTTCAAAGAAGTAAAAATCTACGGAAATTTTGATTACCAGATAAAATGTTCGAAACTGTTTTTGTTGGTTGGAACTTTCGATTTTTTTAAACATTTTTTGTTTTCGATAGTTCTGCTTACTTTTTCTAACTGTATCTAAAAAAGCTATTTTTCTTTTTGTAACGTATCTTTACTCATTAACCTTCAAAGGGAGACAAAATTTGGACAAATGAATTCTAACTTAAAATTAAATTCACGGTGGCCAAGCGATTTCTTCCTTGATTTGAAAAAGAAACAGTCAGAACTCAAACCGCGGATTTGACCAAAAGTTTTGCCGTTTGGTCAAAATTCAGGACTCAAAATGGGTCAAAAAAGGACTGAAAATAGTTGGTTTCACCATACAGAGTCAATACGGGCTTTTGACGCGTTCCTTTTTCTGTCGAAAGTCTAGCGACCTAATTAGCCTCAAATTTGTTAAGTTGGCCTGAGAGGTTTTTTCTGGATGTAAGATTTTCCATTCCTAATTCAATTTTAAGAATCTTAAAAATGACGCTTGCACCACTCACATCTACATCTGGTTTTTGCTTAACTTTACAATCATTTTCCCAACATGTAAATACTTTATGCCATGGTTTGTTTTTATGACATGTAGTACTTGTCATAGCGCGATCGTGATGAAAGCAAAAAAAAACATGATGCTCCGGCCCTTTAATACACCCAAGTGTACCTAAAACGTACGAATTCGTTTTTTTTTTCGATTGAAAACTTTGCTTTTCTTTCCCGTGTTTTTTTTCTGTTTCTCTCATTTTTTTCCGTTTTTTTCTCGCAACAATTGCTGCAATCGGAACTGGAGAAAAACCTATCAGTGAGAACTTTTTTCGACCAGCAGTTTTGTAGGCAAAGAGTTCCGCGAATTTCGAATGAAGTTTTGTATAAAGAAAGGTTAGTGTAGTTCAACAATCGAGTTTCGACTGCTTTTTTAACTTGCTTACTAATAATTCTTTATAGAGACTCTTTTTCGGTTTTGCTGCAGGTTTTAGTGTTAATCAAGGAAAAAAAATTTTTAAATACTTCATGAAGTTTCTTTGAACTTTAAGAAATTTTGCGAAAAAAAGTTAGATATAACAATTTCGATTTCCTATAATACATTTTTATTTCAGCTTAATGATATCTATATTCATTGTAAATCAAAATTACAAATCAAGTGACAAATTTTAATTGACATTCGAAGCGCCATTCCAGTCAAACATTTAAACGCTTGGTTCAAAATAATGCTGCTTGGACACTCGTTGCAAATGACTGTGATTACAAGTTAGGTACCGGAGATTCTTTTTCAAGGGTTCAATACGATTCAATTATGGGCGAAATCGAGAAATTGTTTTTAATTCGATATTATTTTTGGATGAAGATGACGATTAGAATGAAGGTTGATGAAGATGGTGTTCACTTCTGGTTGTCTTATAGGTTGGCTGCTGGAAATTGTATGGTGAGAGGGAGAAACAGACAAAACAAGTGCTCCTGGGTTCCCTCTTTAGCGTGCGAAATCTTGTCCCGTTTGAAAATCTCCAGAACCAGTTCTACTTTTATCCAATCCTGTCCCTTCATCTGAAAACAAAAAACAGTGTATTATGTCAGATAAACTAAAAATTTGGTACGCGTTTCTTTTTACGCATCAAAGTGATTTTTTGAGAAAGCGTATTCTTCTTTCACTTGTCTTAAGTGTTGTTTATGAATGGTTTCTTATTTCTTACAATGTTATCAAAACTTAAACTAGTAGAAATGAACATCGTTCATTTCACTGATTGTAAAAAAAATCGATAATTGATAGAGCTGAATCTAATCAGACGAATATGATAATATGAAACTACTCAATAAAATAATTGAACAGGTGATTTTTGGAAACTGACCAAATCTCTGAACTTAGAGAGATCTACTGCTTTCGGAGATTCAATCTTGTAGCACTGGTTCAGACTTAGCTTCTTCCCTTTCAAGAAGTCCGCTGAACACACATTCTCTGCCGTCTTGTTGAAACCTTTGAGAAGTTCCAGATCCTCGGCATCGCTCAGTTCTATCATCGAGTCCGCTGCTTTTCTCAGTTTTGAGCCAGTTTTGAACAGTCCGCAAATGTCTCTCAAAGTGCTGGAAATGGTACAAACATGTGTACATAAAAAATTCATGATTAAGGAGTCAAAAATGGGTTTAAAAAAATAATTGCCGAAGTGGTCTCCAAGGAGGTCTCAAAAATTATAAATATTTCGACAGCTTTTTCATCGGCACTTTCGTCAAACACAACGTTGGCCGAATAATCAAACATCATGCATGAAATTACCAGGTGTTGTCAAAATGATCGAAGATTTCCTTGACAAGTTCTAAAGTGTCGTCTTCATAATCATAGCTGTAGTCGCCTCCGTTTTCCACATCGGCTTCCATAACCTGCTCTCGAAGCAATGCTCGAAGCAACATGCACGGGAACTCTCTCTTGATGATTCCGATGTCTATAGACACTGCCGCCCTGACGTCCAAAGTATCGCTTGGTTTCATGTAGCCGACAGGTACTTGAGCCGATCCCTTAATACACACATCGCCGAAGTTTTCTGTTCCAATTGTGTTTTTCTCGTTGCCGATTGTCAGCTTTTCCACAGTTATGTTAGCTACAAAAACAACAGCTACACGGTTAAAACTGCTGTGAAAACTGCAAAGAAGTTGGATGCTGGCATATACCGATTCTTCATTTGGATTTCCCCAAACAAATCCAACATCAACAAAAGTTTGCGTATAACTTCTGTTTAAAACAACTCTTGCGTAAGTTTTAACTTCTGACCAGCTAAAA